TTGTCCACAGAACGGGGTTGCATGCCAACATTTTTTGAACAAAAAAGAACAGGCTGCAGTGAGAGTCTGTCTTAGTGGGATATTTTGAAATAGCAGGTTTGTGCATTTAGTCCTTGTCAGGCAAGAGAGAGTGCACCAGAATGATGCATCACTACGTTTATTTATTTATTTATTTTTAATTATGAGGATTCAAATATATGCCAGTCTATATGCCAGTCACATAATCTGGTTGAAATTAATATATATTTTCTAAATGCCTGAAGATCCACTCATTACTAAAAATGTATGTAATCCAAAAGAGACAATTAAAACTATTGGGATGGTCAGAGTTGTCACATTGGCATTTAAGGTGTGTTGGTGGAGTCACGTCGTCAGCTCATGCATTGAGTAACATCACAAGTAAATGTTCCACCTTTAAAGTTGCCAGCAGTCAACACAGCAAATTAAATTATTTTTTCTCTGACTCCAGCTGCTGGTAAAGGCAGCAAAAGATCCTTTCATTTTATAGTTATAGTTTATTAATGTATGTAAAACTTGCCACAGCATAAGCAGTAGATACATAACCTTCAAAACACAACTCAGTCCTGAGCAAGAGTGACAGTTCTTTAATGACCAATCAACAGACTGCAGTGTTTCTAGCTCCACCTTTTAGTACCGGATCAATGTCCTTGGTACCTCAACAGAGGAGTGATAAAAGAAATGGAGATGGTGTGGAACAGTACCATCCACAATTTCTCACAATGGAAATGGAAAAAAATGTGCACCAAATTGAAATGAACTGCTGCTTGGTGGAAACTTGACTTATATAGGGCCATTCGCATTTTCGTGTCAACCACCGTAGCTCTCCTACACACTTGGCGAGTGGAAAAGGTTTCAGTTCTGCACCCTCACCACTAGATGGTACTAATTTCTACACACTGGACCTTTAAAAGAAACATTTGGTTCAGTATACTAACATGGTCAAATTTCTCTTCAGAAAACACAGTGATGGGGCATCAGTGGCTTAGTGGGTATAGCAGGCAGCAAGCGCCCCATGTACAAGGTTGTTGCAGTAGTCGCCCGGGTTCGAATCCAGCCTGTGGCCCCTTGCTTCATGTCATCCCCCCTCCCTCCCCTCCTTAATTTATCAGTTCATTTATATATAAATCCATACTTGATTTTCATTGTGACTCTGTGTTCAACAGTCTCAGTTTGACTGATTCCTCTTATTTCTTTTTTAAAAACTTAAATACATCTATATCTGGAGACTAATGCCAAAACAGAGGACTGCCAAGTTGTCACCATGCTGTACTTAAAGTGTTGTTAGTGAAACACAATGCTGGCATTTAGAGTGAATTTCTTGTCTTTGTATTATTTTTCCCACCACACCTACTCCCAATTTGATGTTCAGCTTTCAGGCAAGGACGGAGTGTTTTTGGTGTTAGTTTTTTTTTTTTTTTTTTTTTTAAACATTTGGCTATTAATTTTTGATTGAGATGACAAGGCACTTCCTTCTTCAACTGTGTGTAGCTGCTTCATCATTTTTCCGTTTTATGATGCCAACAATTGCTTTAGAGGATTGTAACTGCCACCACCACCTACATAACTCGGGTGTCGGCCACCTGAAATCAGTTTTAATTTTTTCCAGATTCCATATTTATTGTTTTAATTTTTCTGAATTCTGTATTTTACAATTTAAGTACATTTTGTCATTAAAAATAGCTCTAAACATGCAGTGGGTGAATAGAATATCAACAATTCAATAAGAAATATTCAAACTTAAAAATTGAATTTCCCCTTGGGGATTAATAAAGTATATAAAATTTAAAAAAAAAAATGAAATTGAAACTTTAATTACCACCACACATTGTTGCGTTTTATTTAAGTGCTTCAATACAGTCATCAAACAAAACATTCCATCAGGGGCGTAAATATAGACAGTGCAGGCAGTTGCGCTGGGGCCTGCGGGGTGGGGGGGCCCTTGAGAATGATTTAGATTGCCACCATGCAACACATTCTCACTCTGACCTCATCGCATATTTCCACATCCAGGCACCCTGGATGCGTTTGTTGTTGACATACTGGAAGGCCGTGTCAAGTTCTGCCTGTTACATGCATTGTCCTCTTTCAAAATGCACTTCCATTTTCACAGGAAATTTACTGTTTAAATATAGTCGCACTACATCATACATGTTGCTGTTTTTTCCTCCAACAACTAATGCAGTTGAGTTTAGGCAACAAAAACACATGGTTAGATTTAGTAAAAAAAAGACAGGGTTTGGCTTTACAATCTTACAGGACACAAACGCCACTCTCCTGGATGAAAGTCGGTGTTTGTTGGATCCATCCAATGTCCCCCTGCCCACCCTACTCAGACTTTCGCCGTTTTAACTTTTGTTCTTGTCCCACCATTTTTTCCCCTGATGCTGCCATGCGCCATTAACTGTTATGTATAAACTATTCAATTAATTGAACAATTTCTCATTTTCTTTGATATTTTTGTCATATATAGGTATACAACGATGCTTGTTGGGTAACATATATGTTGATGTTGCCTAATATCAAGTCACTATTTGATCATGTGACAAGACGACATGATAAGGTCGCTAGCAGTCATGCCTTTTAAACATAAAAGCAGCAGTAAGAAAGGACAAGAGAGAGACGAACAGGAGGAAAATGTAGCAAGGCACCCTAAATTAGATTCATCTGGCATTTTTATAAACAGCTGCTAGTGGTGTGTGTGTGCGCGCCTTTTAACTAGTAACTGGCGTGCACAGGGGCCCATGGTAACGAACTTACGCCACTGCATTCCGTCCTTTTGTAAAGTGCTCCACATGAGATTCACGTTGCATTCCTTAATGTTTTTGCATGACTTAGCCATTAAAGAGGACCTCTTCCACACGACTGCATTGTTTATTGGAAAAAAAAAACTTAGAATAGTAAGGAAAACCCTGATTTCTATGAATTGCATCTTCATTATGGCAGATTTCATGATTTTCTCCTGTTGATATCAAATTCCCGGGGGGGGGGGGGGGGGGGGGGGG